TTCGTTAATTTTATAATTTTTCATCGAAAAATAAAAAAGCGTTCAAATATTTTCATGAGGTAATTTCGTTACGTTAGTGATAAAATCATCTTGGCGAAAAGCCAACAACGCGTTGATTAACAAAATTTCATCGAGAATAAAAAAATTGTTCGTTAATGTTCCGTCAAAAAATAAAAAAAACGTTCGAATATTTTCGCGAGCGGGGTAATTTCGTTATGTAGTGATAAAATCGTCTCGGGAGAAGCCAACTCGTTGGCGATAAACTGATGTATGGCGGAGGGTGACGTCATTCCGTGAGGCAGCTTCAGAATCGAGGCTCCTTTCCTCCAGCCTCCCCTCTGCCAGGATAACCTGTTCTAGCGTCCTGTTTCATCGATCCATCCTTCGCGCCGGAACTGTCGCCATTTCTGCGTGAAAACTTCAATTTTCTTTCTACGATGAAATATCGGCCAAATTATTTGAAACGCATCAAACGTAGCAACCGTGACGCGAGATAATAAATCTGTTGTTACGATGACTGTAACACGTGACGCAATACAACTACGAGTTTTTCAAAATAGATATATCTTCGTGGAAATATTTCTTGCGAATCTTTTTCCATGAGAAAAATTATAATTACCTATTCGTATTTTGTTCGTTTTACGTAACGATCTCTTTGCTGCTTTCGTAATAAACACGCTTTACTTTTAATTTCCGCGTGGAAGCTAGATTTTTTTTTTACGCGAAAATATTACATATACGAGATGAAAAGAAAAAAAATATGAATAATCATTTGACACTGTGTTGCGCAATGAACAACGTCGTTCGTTTTTTTGCAATGTTTAACATCTCTCTTTCTAGTTTTCCACATATCGATTTATTATCGATGTATGATATTATGTATATTTGAGAACGAGAATTTTTTCCACGTGTATCAATAACGATGACTAATTGTGTGAGTAACATCGTGCAAATACGTGACGAGAATTAAACGCTCACGATCTATCATGTTTTTTCAATAGATCGTTAACGCGTGGTTCGAAGATGATTCTAACCAATATTTAATCAAATATTTTCCCTATTGGAATATTAGCGCCGGCGTTGTTCTCTCCTTTTATCTAAAAAATAGAAGAATCGGAAGAAGAAGAAAAAGATATTCGTAATCGGCGATTTTCAAAGACGTATTTTATCGCACGGTTAATATTCAACGAGGGGACTCGATGACTAAGAGACGACTACGTAGGCGGAAACAAATCATCAGCTCTAAATTGATATCTCGCGCATTCTACGAGATAGTCGTTGCTCTTATCTTTCTTGCACACTGAGAATGATTCTCGCGAATCGCAAACTCGAGATACTGTATCATTTGATTCTCGATAGCATTTTATTCCTCCTGTAACTAGCAACTTTTCTTTATTTCCTTTTATATATATATATATATATATCTTTCTTGTCGAAAATTATTTTGAACTATCAAAATTCCTTCGTTGCTCGCACGAAAAATGAAAAACCTTTGGATAAATTGACGATATGCTGCGCACACAGAGCCGTCTATATTCGCAATATATATCTAAGTACATACCACGCATGCGCGCGTAAACTACTCTTATTGTTAGCAAACAACGAAGAGTAAACTTGTGCCACGATTATATTTTCACTGCTCTGGTGGTAATCGATACGAAATAGTATATAATAAGTAAATGCTCATGTACTGCATATATAGGTCTCTTTATATAGAATAGTTGACTTTTTCCGTTAAAGTTCCGATAAAGTTGAAATGTCGATAATCAAATGGTAACGTTTTACTCTCGCTTCGACGTATAGTCGAACGTCCTTTCGCATTCGCGAATCGTATCGGAAGAGATGTACATAATGGGTGTACATGCATACCTGCATGTGGCGTTTTAAACGCGATGCATATTGAACGATGCATAACGAACTCTGCGCGTTATCGGACGCATCCATTATATCCGTTAACGGACATTGTCTGCAGTTATGCAATATCGCCGAATTACACGTACATACACTGTTTAATATCATGCATGGATAATATCATGCATCTAGCTCGATGTAGATAAAATATAAAGCTATTTATCCATTTTTCAAAAGTAGTAGAGAAAAATGAGGTTAAAAGGAAGCGAGATTACATTTCGATTACATTTTTACAAGATAAAAATAATCGATATCGTGTTTTCAATTGTTATTGATTACAATGTATCATTTTTTTATCCATTTCGATTATTTAACTCCAATAATATTGATTTTTTTTTATACTAATCAGATGATATTTAAAAATATGTTGTAATAGAAAATTTAATATAAGAAATGGAATATTTTTGCAAATTATACATGCCAATGAGAACTATTGTTAATATAAGTACTGTTTGTTATTACTCTATTACAATGTACAAATTGTTGCTGTTGTTTTAACAATGAAAAATCTATTGCAATATATTAAATATAAAAATCTTAAAATAAATTTAACATTAAATTAATCAACAGTGAAAAGAACAAAATGCATTATTTTCCAATCGTTTTTTTACATATATTTTCAAAATCAAAATCTACATCAATATCACGTATTTTACTAGAAAAATTCTAGTTTCCATGATTTTATTCGATCGTGCAAAAATCTAACGTAATTTTCGAATTATAAATAAAGCATAATGAATACCAATTGACAGCGATTGCAAAAATTATCGAATCTTCAAATAACGAAATAGTGGGTAAGACACGACGAGCGACAAGATCTTTCAATTTCACTGGCGGAGAACGTCGTTGATGGAGATGACGGCATGCCTTGTTATGGTTGTCCGTAATAATTACGATACTCGTGACCGGTTACTTGACCGCGACGTTTCTTCCGTCGTCTACCATCATCGTGCAGTCTACGTCGATTATGGATGTTGAAAAAAGCATTTCGCACGAACCGAATGGTCGATCCCTCGTTTTTCCCGAGTATTTAGTAAATTCCATCGATTATTAGGTACACGAGAATGCACACGAAATGAATAAATTCAAAGTTATGCGTTGTCGAATAAATTCGTGAATTGGTTAAACAAAAAAATATATTGAAACAATTGGATTCAATATTGGATTCTAAAGTTCAAACAAACACGAAAGTATGCAAAAATGATTAAAACTTATTTATTACATTAAAAGCAATCGAAGTTTGTTGTCATATTTTATATATTCGTCTCGCTTCGTCTAACTTAAATTCCTTATAACTCAATAAATAAGCCTCGATCGACATTTTTACACACCAATTTTTGTATTTTGTTTTTTCAAAAATCGATTCCAATTCTTTATTGCATACATGATATAATAGACAATAATATAAGTGGAAGAAGGTATATAATTGGTTCTCGTACATCGATAATTAATTTTCACGTTTCTATTCGCAATGTCGAACATCTGTCAAGAAGAACCATTCGACCATTCGAAAGATGGTGGCGAGGAGATGGCGGAGAATGGAGAAGAAAGGGTTCCGTGAGAGAGATCCGATGTTAAGTGTGACAGTTGGAAAGTAGCAATGGGAATGATGTCATCGTGTGAATGTCGGCAATGTTCATTCGCTGTAACGTACATTGAATGGAATCGGTATGCGATTAAGATCATCAATAAAGATGAGAATAAACGAAGGAATCAATGAACGAGATATATCGATACGCTTTGTTAAAGAAACAATAGAAAAAATTTTGATTCATAAGAGAATAGTATCAAAGAATCCGTGCCACGTGTTATCAATTTATCTTAATCCTACCTCGTCACATTCGAAAACAATTCCCGCTCAATCTGACCGACCGAGCAACGTGTCAAAGAACGAATGTCGAATCGGTAGCGAGAAATAATCCATCATCCTACAAATTTCTTGCAATGGCGCTCTTCTAATCTAGCGATGAAAATTCAAACTTGTCACGATCGAAGTAACGTACAAAAGAAAAGGTTATATGTAGCAGCGAAAAAGCAGGTACAGAAAACGAGCAGAGAACGACATCATCAAGGTTTTTGTCGCTGCCACGATCGTTACACTAAAGTACGCTTCGTTTCGTTTCGACGAGTGTTTCGTTCTCCCGAGACAAATTTCCCCACGCTTAGAAAAACCCACGGCAACGAACAATCGATCATCGCGTGAGAACGCGAGATGAATATGGTCCGCCACCGTATTTATCGGCGGTCGATCTACGGGTAAACAATCTCGAGTTTCTTATCGGGTCGAAACAATGGTGCAATCCTTGCAGCCGAGTATAGTAAGTATAACGTTATACCAGATAACGTAGACAATGCGCTTCCGGTGTACGTTTTGCGCACCGCCATCACTCCACTCGCTCTCCGATCCTTAGGCCAACTAAAGTATATCGTTACACACCGATACGGGCATGCGCAAACAATTTCCTTTGTCGTCATTGGATCGTCGCGAAAACGAACGAAATTCTTTTTCTCTTCGTTGCACTGGTTGAAAAAAACGGATGAAGGGGAGAAGAGGTGATTGAAAGTTGATCAAGTACAAGACGAGGCCGAAATTCTTCGATTAGAATGGAAGCATCGTTTCCACGTGACGATGCAACAACCCGTATAGGCGGCCGTCGTGATTAGTCAGCCGACTAACTCGCTTAAAGGCGTCGCTGTGATCGAATTAAGGTCGGACGGGAGTGGGACTTTTCTCGCCATGATTAAGTGGGTCGTTGCTAAAACGCTATTGGCCGATTAGCTTTATCCACGTTGACGGTGTCCCTTGCGTCATCGTATTCGACCGGTGCTCCTCGACCCATTTTTTTCTGGAATCGGATCGCAAAGGAGTTTGATCTCACGAATTGGACGAAATGAGTTGGACAACGAAAGGAAAATTTTCGTTCGATCTCGGAAGAAAGGAGAGGTTATGAAGATTTCGCAAGACGAATAATTGCGTTAAAACGAATGGAGACGATGGATGAAAACGTTCGTTTCGTTGGAAAGCCGATTGGAAATTGCGGTGAGAGGGATCCCGATTTGTAATTCTAACGTGTTTGTCTCGTTTTCAGGACAAGAGATGAACGCCCCACCGCCGGTCTACGCGTCGTCCTGTCCCGCGTTGCAGTCAAACCTGTCGCTGCACAGTTCCTCCTATTACAGTGAATATAGCGGGGCGGCAAGGAGGCGATTATCGTCGACGGGCGAGGCGGACACCTCGGCCACGTCGAGCTATGAGGGTAGCGACAGCTCTGAGAACAGCGACGAGTCTCGTCTCGAACCGGTTAATCAGATCGAGCGAGAGCAACTCGAAACGTTTTTCCGGGGCTTGAAATCCCAGGTAAAGCTTTTTCGAATTTTCTTTTCTTTTTTTTCCTCTCTCCATCGATGAAATTCTTCTTCGTTTCCTTGGAACACAACAGGTGTTCGTTTGCGAGTCGCTGGCCAACTTGTATCTGGGGAACGCGTCGCAGACCGAAAGATGGGAGCTTCGATTTACCGGGATTCCAGTTGTGGTATTGGACCTTGGAGAAACGCGATCAAGATCCAAGAGACGGATCCAGATTCTTTTGGCCGAGCGTGGCACATGTTTTACGCTTTGGAGGGAGACGATCGACAACTTATCGTCGTACAAGGTAAATAAATGAATGAATGAACGAATGGTCAGGTAATGGGAATTAAAAATTTTTGCAACTATTATTACAACTGCGTTTTCAGGTGTCGGGGCCGGCCTTCCACACGATGTGTCTTTCGTCGGATCACACGCGTCTCGCCGGCCTCAGTTTCGACAATCCAAAAGCCGCCAACGATCTGTGGCAGCACATAGAAAGACTCGTCTCCTGTCCTGAGAACATTAGCCTCTCGGTACCGGGGAAAAAGAAGAAGAAACCGGTGCAGAAGAAAGTGGTTTTACCGGCCAAGAGTAACATCAGCCAGCCCTGTCAATTTCAACACGTGACGAGCGTGGACGCTGCCGATCGATCGCGTTATTTCTCCCTCCAAACCCTGGTTCCGGCTTTGAACGAGCTCGAAAATTCATTGGAGGCGAATTTCTGAGATAGCGAGAAACTGGACAAGAGTTCAGATTCGTAACTCTGACGTTGCTCTCGTCCATTACATCTATCTAATGCGCGTTACGTTCTAGGGAAATTCATTTGTAATCCCTTCAGGGATAAGATTGTCCGTAAAAATGTAACTCGTGCGCGCTGATGCGCTCATTACTCTTCGTGCTTCCGAGCGAAATCAAACGATTTGCCAAATCCATCGTTGCGTTATATTTCGACGCGATTACCGCTCGATGCCCTTCCTTATTCTCTCGTCCCTTTTTTCTTTTATTCGAGAGAGAGAGAATTAATCGTAGTAAGTAAAAAAAAAAAAGAAAAAGAAAAAAAAGATTGTAAATCTTGAGGATCGAGAAAATGAAAAACTTTATTAGTCTATAATTTGTTTTATTGCTATCGTAATTAGATAATGGCATAGACAAGGATATTTGTTCAGGGAAACGTGCAACGGTACAAGATCATTATTTCCAAATTTCAATGTAATTAACATCACCGTTCTGATGTTTGGAATCGTTAGCTTCTTTCGATCGCTACAGAGACTCAACTGGTTAAAAATTCATTGTTAGTCATCATCGTTACTGACATACCGTTCGACGAAATATATATATATATACATATACAAAGATCAAGAAAAATTCGAATAATTTCGAATGCGTTTGTATACGTGTTAGCGTGAGGCTTGAAGCAAAGATAGAGAAAATTGAAAATATTTTTCAAACTTTGATCAATCTCGTGACTTTTAGGCTGCAAAATTTTGTCACGTGTTTCGAACGTTCAACGAATCAAGAATTGAACGTCGTGTTATGCACGCGAAATTTTATCACGTTTCCAAAGTGAATTGCGTACCGCGTGAATTTTGTCCGAATAACGACTGCGATAAGACTGGTTCTACCATTTATTATCCTATAATTAGAGGAGCGAGTTTAAACGTAGGCATTGTGACGATAATAAAAACGTAGAAACGTTACTTTGTTATTCGACGTTGATCGTTCTTCGATGCGCAATTTTTCGACGCCATGCTTTAACCCCCTTTACTGCTGGACAGCTTAAAACTCGTTAACATTATTGACATCGAGTCGTAGAATATGAAAGAATACGAAAAGAAAGAAAAGAGAAATAATAATGTGCAGTACTACTATGGAATGGCGATCGAAACTTGATTATTAAAATAACGTGTTTAACAAGATGCGCGATCGCGTCGTTGTTGTCATCGTTGTGAAACGCATATCGTGTAAGAAATATCAAGAGGATAATCAAATTTCTCGCGTTTAAAGAGTTAGTTTTATGGATTTACGTAGCGATCGATGAGAGACAATTGTCAAACGTAATATTCGTTTGTTCGAGATCGTTTAAAGGTTTTCCTCCCTTTTTGATCTCCAGACACTCGACCGTGTGTACGAAATAACTTCGATTACGATACATTGATTTCTTTGTCTCGACTGTGATATAAATATATTTGTATAGTTAAGTTTCATAATATGTATCCACATTGATTAATCATTTTGATATGTAAGTTTACGATCATCATTTCGCATGTAATAATTATGATAATAAATAAGTAAGTTTACGTAACAGGTATCTCGTATTCGACGCGTTGATTACACAAAGAAATAGGAAGAATAGAATATTCAAGATACTCCATCAATGTTATTTTTAACGAAAGAAATAAAGGACAAGACCGACAATCACGTATGAAAACGAAACGACTTGAAGAAAAACTTAAAGTGCAGCAATTATTTTTCTAATTTCTTCGAACAAATACTTTCATGTTTAATTACAAACGAGTAAAAGAATAAGGAAAATATGGCGTATCCGCAATCAAAGCGACACTTTCCTCGCGCGGTTCAAATCTATGACTGACTTTCTCTTCTTTTCGTGTCCAATGGCTACTGGTAAACAGCGGATGTTTTTCGAATCTGCCCACTTAACATTCTTTCCGCGGATCGAACTTAATTGTAATCAACTTACATGTATCTTACGACACGCGACGAGATATGTAATACTTGCTTCACCCGAGGATGTCCTATTCCACTTTCACCGTTCTGAACACTTTTACTATTTGATAAGATATCGCGTGACGTGTGGTTCGATAGATCAGAACGTGGTTCAGCGTAAACGTGAACGACGTAGTTTGAAGAACGCGTAAGGAAAAATCAACATTAACTTAAGTATAAGGAACCGAGAAAAAAAAATCGATGAAAAATCAACAGGATTCGAATATAGATACGATAGAGAAAATATTCTATTTTTTTTATCTCGTGATGCTTAGAAAAAGATGCATAGAATGAAATTTAATTACTGTTAATATATTTTTAATACAATTTTATAATATATTTGTGATAAAGTGCGACAACTAAATCGCGACAAACAATGCATTCCATGAAGCGAGTAGCGTTATTGGAATGGTCGAGTAAGATGTGTCGCACAGAACTCGTTAGATGTTTGGCTGTAAATGGCGGACAAAAGCAGCTGGTCAGTTGGTCTCATACGTATGGATGAGAGGAAGACAGTCGGTATTCGTGCGACAGGAAGCCATCGATACGAGGAAACGACGAGTCGTCAGTGTGTTTCTGGAACTCACGTATTTTACTATTTCGTTTCTTTCGTCTCACGAGTTTACCGGTCTGAGCCACTCGTCGCCACTACATACCTACATTTCCATTGTATCCACTTCGAAGTAAACAGATATTCGTCGAAAAATCGAATCGAAGGTAAACTGTAAATCCGATAAGAGGAAATATATATACGTGGTGTGCAATTTAAAAAAGAAAAAGTTTCGAAAAAAAAGTTATGTAACATGATATATATTCGTATATATATTTTCGAAAAAGATAAATCTTACGTGACTTGTGGAAATTTTCTTTTTTTCCGTTTAAATTTTTAGGACGATGTTCAATTTCCCAGCATCGCTGGTTTCTTATCTTGTCTCTTTATTTTTTGATTTAGAATGAAATTGAACTTTTTTATAGTCTTCAAGTTCCTTGATAATTCCGGACGCATCGATAGCCGGAAAGTTAGAGAGCCGAGAGATATGCGTGGGTTCCAGGTACCGGAATCGAAGCAAGGCCAAAGAGGACTCGGAAGAGGCACGGAGAGAGGTACGGAGACACCGATATTGGGTTAGTTTTTACGGCTGGTTTCTAGTTTCCACAGTGGTGCAATGAGGCCTGGGTTTCCCGTAGACGAGCACCACGTTCCAGATTGTAGTCGCCGACGCGGTGCCAGAGAAGAATGAAAAAAAAAAAAGAAAGTCATCAATGAGCATGAGCCCTGATCTGTACAGATTCTAATTTGAATCTTCCAGACTCGAAAGAATAATTTGCCTCGCGAATAAAATCGTTGAACGATGTAACTGAACAAAGAGACGAACGATTTCGTGTCACCAGTTATCCCTTAAACGCCGTCATTGGCGGAAACATGAAGAAAAACACGGAGGGAAGAGTGCGTAGGATAGAGCGGAGTACAACAGGATGCGAGCGACGCGTTCGATCGGCCACAAATGGGCGGACAAGTTTTTTCCGCGATTCTCCTAGAAATAAATATAACGCTCTCCCGATTTATCTTAGCGCGCATCGTTTCTCACGAACGGGTTAACGCGTGCGTGATTGAAAAGTTTCTTCCGATCCGCTCTTTCGAGTCAACCCTTTTGTAAAAGTGGCTGCACGACGAATCGTCGATTCCGAGAGATTGACGAAGGTGAAAAATGGCCGCGTACGTAGATAGGTTAAATCGGCTATAATTTTTCTCGACTCGTTTCGATGAATCCGTAATATCGATATTTGATCGCTAACGGTAAGATGACGCGAGCTCTCATCCCTCCTTTCATTTAACTTTCATTAAGATTGACGGGTATTGACCTTTGTCGAGACCTCTCGTGTCGTCTCTTCGTCTAACGCGTCGATGTAATATTCTCGGATACTTTTCTCACGTTCCGCATCCTTCCTTCCCGATCTCTAAATAAATATTCACGCTGTAAAGAATCGTCGAATACAATTGCACAATCTCGTTTTTAACTCTAGTCAAACGACCCACATTTCACACTTGTCGTTCGTGTTCGATAATTTCGTGCGTACATTGAAAAATCGGTTGGATTATTAAGAAAAGATTAGGTTCTTACACTCTTCGATTACGATTCGTTTAAAGAGAATGAAAAAATTTCGATTTTTCAGGAAATTTCGACACGAAATAGACACTTACCGGTAGAGTCGGTTTTCTTCTACGTTGTGTCGGTAGCTATGTTTCATCGATTTTTTTCTCGACATGTACGTACATCTATACGCAAAAGCAGAAATCTCTTAACGAGAGATTTATGTTATCGACATACTAAATTAATTTTAAATTGATATTCTTCATATAAACCCTCCATTTTTTCTAACCTCTTTCTTCTTGCCGTTCCTCAATTTTGGTTATTTCGTTCTTGCGATTGCAACAATTCACGATTTGAAACTTTCTCTAGACTCGCTTGAAAATCGAATATTTTATCCGAAATGTTCGATCAGATTATTGGTTATGTTATATACCATAGAAAATTGTATCTCTTTTTTCATTGAGTTATTCTGTTTCATTGGAGAAGTTCTAAAAAATCAAAAACGAATCGAAATCGAGGATGAGAATTAAGGCTCATTAATGCCAATAAATCATAACCAAGTACCGTTTCGGCAGCTTTGAGTTCCAAACGAATACTCCCGAGGGCCTTTACTCGCTATAAATTATCCAATGGGCGTGTAATCGATTGCCGTTTCTTTTTCGATCCAATTCAATGCTGTTCAATAAAAAATTTACCGATGCATCGATTACGTGACATATTTTCGGATTACGAATCGATTTTGCGACACGTAAAGTTCGATCAAATCGCAACCCTATGAAATCTAAACTTTATACGAGACACGTGGTAACCGATAATGCGATAATTTATTGATAAACGGAAAATCAACAAAACGTGTGACCGTCAGGTACAATTCATCATACGTAACAAAGTACACACTTATACATAAAGTACGTACGAAAATGATGCTCTGAATCTGTCTCAGATATCATCATTTGTAATTTCGAGTACGTGAGCGATCGCGATACCACGCACAAATCGTCCTTTTTTCGCTATGTAACGTTTGATAAATGATGTATCTCGCGCAAATACAACTCGAATGATACAGGCGGCGACACAATCGCCGTTATTACGATCGCAACCAATTTCAAGAGAATAAAAATGAAACGTACAAAATTCAATTGGATATGGATGACAAACACGATGATCGGTAGACGTAAGACTAGCGTTAATAATACAAAGTTGCAATGGCAACATGTGATTCTTACATTACCGTTTCACATTTTCGTAGAATTATCATTTTACTTATTATGAGTTGCATCGATCGTGCAGAATCGAGAGACAGCAGATAGAAACGTTGATATAACGATACGATAAATACGTTGATCGCATTAATTATTATATGTATATTACGATAAATACTTCTCACGAGCAACATTGTTCTTTTCATGCACATGTATGCTCAAACTACAATCGACTCGTTCGAGTAAACAAGCAGCACCAACTGAAACACTTTTCTACAGATAACGATCAACTGTGTGCAATAATATTCTATCAAAAGTCATTTACATAATCGTGTATATCTTTGAAACAGGTTCGTTGAGCAATTTGTCACGACACGTGACAATATGTTATACTTCACATACGTGTGTATATATATATATATGCATGCGTGTATTGATTTATACGCATTCATTCTGCACGCGCGCTCGTGTCTACGTATACTGGCACATTAGAAATTGGCGCGCGTTCTCGTATCGAAGACGAGACCGTGGCTAAGATCGATAACTCGCGGATCTGCCACGATGAGCTTCTGCGATAACGATCGCGTAATATTACGTGAGTAAAATAATTAAACAACGCATGGAAAACGCATGAAAAATTGTTGAGAGAATTCGATCGAGTGAAATTCTACGCGAATTAAATAAATACATATTATCAAGTAAGCTACGATCGAACCAACCTTCCTCGCATCCTTGTTCTCATCCTATACTTTGATTAACTACCGCGCAGTCCCGCAAATTCGCTCGTATCGTTCGTTTCACGTCTGTTTCTCCTACGCGTAGAACGTGGAACGTCGGATTCCTGTGGGACTTTGGGGGAAGTAGCGTTTAAAAGAAAAATCTTTCTCCATCGGGAACAGTTTTAATTGCCGTTTATCTCGATCGTTGTCACCGAGTTCGTCCGATGCTCGTCCTCCGTCGTGGAGGAGGAAGGTGGCACGGTGAAGCTAGCCAGACCACTCTCGACCAGGCTCATAAGATCATTCTGACGCGCTCGCGCGAGCTTCTCGCTACGCGCTTTTTCCTCCGCTTTCTTCTTCTCGATCGCAGCCTGGCTCGCGCGATTGTTGTTCCTCGTGCTCTCTTGGACGAATTGCTCGAATTTCGACAGCTGCCTCTCGGTCGCGCTTTCGAAGATCTCGTTTCCCTCCACAGGTATACCGTGTTTGCTCACCGTGGGCTTGTAAGTCTTCACCTTCGAATGACCTTGGATGATGAGGTACATCGGGCCACGGATAGGTTTGGCCGGTTGTTTGTAATGGGAGAAAATTGGATCCGTGGTCAAGCTGGGCATGGTAGTGATTCGCGGTGTGGTCGATACGTTTTTTCGGTTCTCTTCCTCCTCTTTTTCCTCCTCCTCCTCCTCTTCCCTCTTTCCCTCCGTGCTCGTTTTCACCGGGGCACGGTCTATCATTTCCGGATGTCGAGTATGCCCAGTGTCGAGAAGAGGCACGGGCGAGTTCTCGGCCGAGGACGAGACGGTAGGCAAGAATGAAGGTGCGGTAGGCGTGGTGAAGATGGACGCGGTGCTGGTGTCCGGAATGCGGGATCGGTGTCGATCGAAATAGTGCTCCTCGCTTTGACCGATCGAGTGCGCGGTCAGAGTGGGGAGTGGCGGCGAGTCGGGCGACATTGCGGGGAAATTGTGCAACTGCGGCGACCGATGCGCCCCCGACTGATGTTCCACGTGATCGATGGTCGATCTCATAGGCGGTGGCGCGTGCATGTGCGTCATCGGTGGGAACATGGGCATCGAGGCTGGAGCGCGGAAACCGACGGTTGGACGCATACCACTGATAACGTGTATCGTTCCATGATTGGGCCTGGTCTGTGGATGCATCATGGAGGAGAGGGGAGCTTGCGGTGGTCCGAACCCGAGCAAAGAGTCGACGGGGCGTCGGGACGAGAATGGAGGAGCCATCGTCGAGTGGAAATGCATCCCGTGCTGTTGAACACCCGACACCATCTTGTTCGGGAATAAAGGCGATTTGGAATTATCCGAGACGATCGAGGATCCCCTGATCGCCGAATTTCGAATCGGTTGAGACTCGACTCTCGACGTTTCCGCCTCCATTGTCGTCGAATTTTCCGGGAGGCTAGAGGTCGCGATTGTCTCCACCGTTGTTGTAACCGCCGGCGTCACCGAGCTCGAAGATGTCGCGTAAGTCGCCTTTTTCTCCGATTGATAATTGGTCGGCATCACCACCGCCACCGGCTCTCTTTTCGTCTCGTGAGTGGCCTCGGTGTCTGGGAGACCGTGAGGCGAATTGGCGACCACGATGTGCATCTTTTCGGACGACGCGATCGGCTCGTTCTCCGCGTTTTCCTTCCCCTCGTTGATTCCCGAGTCGGTCGTCGTAATGGTCGTCATCGAGGTCGTGACAGGGGACGCTGTATCCACACCTTTTTGACCGACCACCACCTCCTCGTTCTCGTTGCTGTCCCCGTCGACTATTATGTTCGCGTTTTGTTCCACGACCACCTCGTGATTCGAGGATTCGGCCGGTTGGTGGTCGATCGATTCGTATTGATCGCGGGAATAATCCGTGGCCTGGCGGACACCGTTCGACGCGGTCGACGTCGACAAGGGGCCGCCACCTGGTGGCCATCCACCGGAAAGAGTTTGGGTCGACTGATATATCAAATTGGACTTTTCCAGGGAGACGGATGGCGTGGTCACGGTTTCGTGCCTGGGTCTGGCGGTGGATTGCGGCGACGAAGAAGGCCCGTACACGCTCTTGATCGTCTCCACCTGCGTGGAGATGCTCGGGCTTTTGCTCGGGGGAAATTTCAACTGCGACTTTCCCGGCTGATTGTACGTTTTCGAAGGTGGTGGGAGCGGCGCGTAGAACTGCGCATCTTGAAGCACCGGCCCTTCCTCCGTTTGAGTGTTGAATTGTTGAGTGGGCTCGACGAAGCTCACGATCTTGTCTTTCTGCGCCAACGGTGGGGGGAGCATCATCGTGTAAGGTTTCGTTTTTTGATTGTAGAACGGGCTCGGGTAGTAGCTGGACGGTATCGATTGAATCCTGTTTTGATTCCTGTAGTCGAGGGGCCCGTTCCTAAAGTTGCTCGTCCGCACCAGTTTCGGCGGTTCCGCCCCCGTGCTCCCGGTGAAGTCGTTCCTGTACGAGGAAACGTCCTGGTGACTCGATCTCGTGAATTTCGGCCCGTCCACGAATTTCAAGAATTGCTCCGGTATCTTGGGGCTTGTTTTCTTCGCGGTCACGCCGAGGACGAGGATGTCCCGTTTGGTGGACGGCTCGGTCGTGTGAGAATCCAGCCAATATTGAACCCTGTCCAGCACGGGCGGCACGTAATCGAAGGTAGGATTGTTCTTCAGGGGATCGCCGCGTCCAAGCGGCGTCCACTCGTCGTAATCCATTCTGAGCGAGAACACACGCGGTTTGCTCTCATTCTGGCCTGGAAAAGAAAAAAGAAGAAACGTTCATTGGCACGAGGTGGTCGAATCAAACTTTTTAAAATTGCTCTTTCAAAATTGTAATTAATCGATTTACGGAAGAGAAAATGAAGACTTTAGACTGGACGAGATAGGATAAGATCGTCGAGCTATTTCTCTTCGGAAGAGAAATAAATCCGCGGCGATAAAATTTCTCTCATCCGTTTCTGCTTGTAACGCAAGTTGATGCGTTTCATATGCGCTCTCGCTGCGTGCATTAACGTACGTCCTACTACGGAAACCCGATGTATACGGAAACGAGAAACGAACAACGATGAAGGAACTTGCGTATATAACGCGCCAGTAGAAAACTCTCGAGCCATCGTTGGGATAAGACGATAATAGGAACGTGACGCGTGAAAAGATAGAAAGGTATTTGCCCTTTCGTCGAATCTTTACAAATGTGTCCCATTGCGTTGAACGAGGCTGGAATTCATCATCCAAGAGTGTCGCGGCGCTGCTGCAGCGTCAGCTTTTTGAACGGGAGTGACACGGTATCCAAAATACGGGAACCAATCTCTTCTCAAATTTCCACGTGAGAAACGGTTAGGGGAGGCGCGGCAAAAGGCGGCACGGGCTGTACAGGTGTAGTAGGATGTATACGCACGAGGGCAAGTGAACGTGTTGTGCGCTGTCCGTTTTCATGAGGGCACACTGCTCCTCCATCCGTTGACAACTGAGCAAAGATTCATTAAGGCTAAGTGCTTGCAGTCCCTGCCGCCGTCGTCGAGACAAGAGGAACGAATTTCTTTCGTGTCCCAGATTTTTCTCTCTCTCTCTCTCTCTCTCTCTC